GTGGCGGATGGCGGTGAGACTGAAGACGGCTCGATGGTACAGGCCGGGTGGTCGTGTGAACCGGGGTCAGGGTCGGGGTCGGGTTGAAGGGAGCCAATGAAGCGATCCAAGTTGGCGGGGAAGAATGGCGGTGAGAGTGGACTCGTGTGAGGATGGGGCCAATGGCGGTAGTAGTCTTGAGGAGGCTGCTGATGGTAGAGCTGAGGCTGGTGCTGGTGAGAGTCGGCCCGATGGTGGTACCGCGGATGCTGCTGCTGGTGATGCGGCTGATAGGAACCCGGTGAAGTAGCCGACACGAAGACTGGCTGTGCATGGAGGAGGCGGGCTGCCGCCGCTCCGGGCGCGGTTTCCACCTGCTCACTGTTCGTGTTGTGCCGAGTCGGCTCGAGGCCTGCCCTCGCGACGGCACTCGAAGGCGCCGGTTTCGAGCCGGCACCTCTGGGCAGCTGGTCCAGGTACTGGCGCATCCAGACGCGCAAACCGTTGACGAACTGCGAGACCGCCGTGTCGGGCCCGGCGCCGGCCTCGGCCTCGAGCAGTCCGATGATCAGGTGGCTCAGTTGGTCGGCCCACTGAAAAACGCACGAGTGGATGGTGTGAAAAGAGAATGGCTCATGTGGCTGACTTCAAGACGCCAACAACGACCAGTCCACTTGCCGGTCGGCCAGAGCCGTTCGGCTTCGCAACAAAGCCCCACTTGGCAGTCAAGCCTGACGGACGGCTCAGCGCCAACCGGCCAACATGAATGTGAAAGAATTGCAGATCTATCTTCGAATTTCAGAGAGTGTTGAGGAAAAAATTCAACTACAACTAGAGGCCGACTCACTTCATTGTGGCGCACATTTTCATTTTCATTTCTCCAACCATCAGTGAGGCAGCCTAAGCCACATGGGCTGAGTACGTTTTCACACAAAAAGGCATAGCCCTTGCTACATTCGCGTTTAGTTACCATTTGTCACCAAACGAATAAAGATACTTTCATCGTTGCATTTACAACTTGAGCTGCTAATTTCCATACATACAAAGCAAATACTGTTGAGCTTACCTTCATTTCGAGTGAAAGTGTTTGGTGCAAAGATTCGAAGGTCGCATCCACCAGAAGACGACGGCGGATCGCTCTTGACCAGCTGTCGATTGGCTTTACTGGAACATTCATGCTGACGCTGTTTCCGAGGCAATCTCATTCGAGTCACGAAAACTCGTTAGCTTGAATTTAGTTGTAACGATGATAACTTGCTCTGATGATGTTCACCACATGTCGGACGAAAGACTAACTCGGAAACAGCGTCAGCTGGTCAAGAGGAATCCGCCGTCGTTTTCTGGTGGAATCGACCTTCGAATGTCTTCACCAAACACTTTCAGTGGAAATGGAAGTAAGCATAGCAATTATGCAAAAAGAGATTCCTCGAAAGTCAACTTCTATTCGCATATAGAAAAACATTGTTGTAAGAATGACTTTTATAAGTAGCTTTTTGAGACAACCATTAGCCGTACTCAACCTAGTTCGTAAATGAAAATATGAAGCGCAAGATGGTGTGGCCTCTGGTATGGTAGCAGTCTCCTTTGTATAGAAGTGGGTTGACCTCGTTGTCGCAACTTGGTCTTGTTGTCAGGACGAATTAGCAGAACGCAACTTGTCCGAAGTCGTGTGCCATAGTCGTTCTCATGATTCCCAGCATCAGACGACTTCGGACTAGATGCGTTCTACTAAGTCGCCCTGACAACAAGAACAAGTTGCGACAACGGGGTCAACCCACTTCTATAAATCGAAAGGAGACTGCGATTATACCACACCATTTTGCTCTTCATATCTTCAATTTAACTACGCCGGTTAAATTGCCAGAAAATGCACTGAATACACTGGACAATGAAAACAATCGTAAGTCAATCTTCCCATCTGACTTTTTTAAACTGTTGTAAATGTTATGGTATCACTCCTAAGTTCCGTGACCTTAAGAGATCCTACAACTCAGATAAGGTTAATGACTATATCAACCAGGCTTCTATTCAGAAACTAAGTGAGACCTCTGATACAGAACAGAATAAGTTGCTTAATGAGATGTATTCACCCTATTTCGTCTAAGGTGATGAAGGACTGGTAC